GACAATTAACTGCAGGGGTGACAAACAACAGGATAATTCAAGATGCCAGAAAAATTCAAAATAATACAATAGAAAGAATAAACTTGATAACAAGAGGAGACTTAGCATATTTAATAAGGAAGTATAATGTTGACAAAAAAAGGGACGCTGATGATATGACAGCTACTGCTTTGAAAATTGAAGAATGGAACAGGCAAGGAAAAAACCATGCATTTTTATTCAAAAGAATTGGTATGTACATAAAAATACATTTAAAAATATGTAATTTTTATAGGGTTAAGGTTTAGATGGTGAAGGTATAGGTTGGGTTTTTATTTTCAGGTGAAAGTTACCCTGGATTAAAGGATGAAGATTTTGCAGTGGGTTATATGAATGGTGTTATGGAAAAGAAATTAAGGGACTTTAAAAGGATCATTTGTATTGATGGAACGCATGGAACAAACCGAAGAAATTTGGATCTTACAATACTTCTTATTAAGGATGAGAATAATATGGGATTTCCAGTGGCATTTTTACTTTCAAACAGGTTAGATCAAACAATTCAAGAAATTTTTTTTAAGGCACTTCAATCAAGACTGGGGGAGATACTTCAGACAGAATATATAATGAGTGATGATGACCCAAAATACTATAATGCATGGATCAAGGCTATGAATTTCTATGAAAAACCCAGAAGACTTCTTTGTTCATGGCATATAATCAAGAATTGGAACATCCAAGGTAGATCAAAACTTAAGAAGGCAGAAAATAGACAAGAAATGAAGAACAAAATGAAAAGAATATTAAAAGAAACTAATATTACAAATTTTATGGTATTAAAGGAAAACTATTTCAGGCATTTGGAAGAGGAGGATGAAAATGATTTTTTGAAATACTTACAAAAGTAAAGAATATAGCCTATATATATATAAAAAAAAAAAAATCAAACAGTGATATTTGTTTTTAGCTACTATTTCCAGAGTGAAGAAAGGATCATGACATGGGCCCATTGTTACAGAATTAATGTAGGAATAAATACAAATATGGCTATTGAAAGTTTAAATAAAGTATTGAAATATAACAAAATGAGTGGACGACGTAATCTTAGGTAAAAATACTTTTATCACTTAGACAAAACGTGTAATGCAAAATGTTGATATAATAAAATTCAAATATGATTCAAATTTTTTTAGAGTTGAAAAGTTGCTGGATTTGTTGGATGAACTTGTAGATGAGAAGATGTGGAAAAAGATAATTAATGCTGAAAGGCCAAATGCAAATAATTATCAACACAAAATTGTTGTAGAAGCCCATAAAAAAGCAGAAAGTATGAATGATAAGGTAGAAGTTTTGGAATTTGGAAAATTCAAAGTGCAATCTTCAGTGAGTAATAAATATTATGTCGTGTCTTATAATGAAGTATGTGATATACAATGTCGTACTGGGTATTGTAATAAATGTAAAATATGTTTACATAGATATCAATGTCAGTGTCCAGAGAATGCTGTAAAAACAGTGCTGTGTAAACATATACATGCTGTAGCTTTGTTTGAGGAGAGAAGCGAGTCTGTTTTAGGTTCCTTAAATACTGGAGAGGATGAGGATGATGTTTTGTGTGTTGAAGAGCCTACAATTAGTCAGCTAAATTATCAAGATGATGTAACCCACTTTATTCAGGAGAGTTCGAAAATGGAAGTTAATAATTCAATAATTAATTTTGAAGAAAGGCGAGAAGTAGTTATATCCAAATATAATTTGTGTTTTTATTACATCCTATATAATTTGTAGATTGCATTACAAGAAATTTATAGTTTTGGTAGAAGTTTAGATGAAAATTCATTTGCTAGATTTATGACTGATTTCCAAAAATGTAGAAATAGAATGGTTTTGGAACAAGAGAACTGTCAGGGCATTAATAAAAAACGAAAAATTGAAAAACAGACATACTATCCAAATAAAAAATAAAACTAATATTAATTTTTTTTTAAGTTTTAGTCACTCTTGATTTTTGTATACAAGTATAACAAAGTGGATTGTGTTTTTTTCATATTTTGGATACTTTCTTTGTAGTGCTTTATTCTTATACTACTTATGGTTTTTGGTAAGGTTTTGGTTTAGGCTTCGGTAGATATGGTTTGGAAAGGTGAAAGTTTGTAATAAAACATTTTAATATTCTATTCTTCTTAATGTTGTGTATATTGTTTAAATTTTTAAACTGAGCCATGCCACCAAAATTATATTTCAGGTATTCTAGATAAAAATTACATTTAGTTACAAAAAAATTCCATATTTTATATTCAAGTTTTGTGTGCTATCAATATATTTTTTTACCGTTTTTTAGGGTGCAGAAGCTAATTGTCATTTGATATAAAGGAATGGGGGAAGGCCCCTGTGAGTATATTGGCTATTAATTTGTATACAGAACAGTAATTTAAATTTTTGTTTTATGTTTACTACAAAACTGTTGAATACGTTTGGACCGTGACAATGCGATGCCAGACCAAGAAAAGTTTCAATGTCTAATGGATATTAGATCAAAGGTTTACTTCTCGACATCCAGAAAAATGTATTGAACTTTATTTAACTGTTAGGTTATCATGTATAATATAACCATGCATCTTTTCAAAAAATATACATAATACATATTTTTTTTAATTATTAATTTTAATACATTTGTATTTAAATGTTTTAAATAAACCCAGTAAACATATGCTATTGTACCTATTCGTTTTTATTTTCCCTCTCATTGGTTTTATTTATTTAAAAATATATATATAAAAAAAAATAACTCACCATCAGTAAAGGTATCAAAATAAATATTAATTATTAATTCTAATAATCACATTCTATTATACAGTGCGTTCATAAAGTGTGGAAACTCTCCATTATCTTAAGAGTTCATTATTTTCGAAGGTCATATTTTGTAAGGTAGTGGAAGTAAAACTTATTTAAAAAAAAAGTAGAACTAAAAAAGTCCTGTTTTATCTCTACAAATAATTAACTCGTAAGATAATGGATCGTTTCCACACTTTATGAACGCACTATATAATTTACTTTATGTGCGCAACGCAGCTCTTTTTTTCATAAAACATTTGAAATATTTAAATCCATCACAATACATACTTAAAAATGTGTCCTTAATACAAAAATTCCGCATAACTACATAAATTGGAATTTTGAATTTGGCGGCATATTTAAATCCATCATAGAACCTATTTAAAAACATTTCCATGGTACAGAATTCCGCATAACTACATAAACTGGAATTTTGAATTTGGCGGCACATAGGCCACACCCCGGCTGATGCCGGAGCGTTCTCATTGGCTGGGCACATTTGCATTTTAATGTATGCTTCATTTGTAGAGCACAAGAAATAGCCGCTAGTACGAGATACTTGATAATGTTTCAAAAAGTTACGAGTTCTGGGCTCAGGTTCATGTTAAATTTGTGACCGCAGTTGTTTGTCATCATGTTAGATCAAATTTAGGTAGGCATGATTATAACCATATTATAACAGCCTGTGTAATTGTCAAAGTTGACAAGAATAACAGTAAATCCAATGTATTTGTGAAGTACAATTGAGAATTGTAATTATGTAATTGAAGACCCGAGGGCAGAAACCAGGCAGCTCCATCTTTTGGTCAATAGTGAGTTAATGTGTATCTAATATTTGCATAAGCTTATCAATCTTTCAGAGGAGGAACGAGGTAAATCCTTTAAATAACAGGCCCGTGATGATTCATTTTGGAGCTACCTGTTTATACGTTCAGTGCAAGAAGCAGGCAACTCGGATCTGCCTGGTAACTTTCACTTTTATGCTAATCTGACCACAGGACCTGTTCAAATTGTAGATGAGAAATCCACATATGTAACAGATTTAAGTAAATATATTTTCTTCTTAAGTTGCTCCGAAAAAGACGCAATTTCGGTGCAAAAACCAGGCAAATCCAATATTGTCGCATTTTTATTGTAAAACAAAAAAATTACAAAATGTTACAATTATTTTCAATAGTTCAAAAATTGCACAATAATACTTTTCACTTAAATAAAAATTCGCAACACAATTGAAGAGTGGAAATTCCAAATGTTCTAAGTGCCAATTTACTTAAAATTGAGATAACTATTTTTTTGCATGTAAGGAGTTTGTTTTTAGTTTTGCATTGCACATCTTACGAACGAATATATCCCTACAGAGACTTACACAGTTTTATTGATTTTCTGAAAAGTTTGGAATTTCCACTCTTCAATTATCAAGTTATACAATTTTTTGTTTTCTCAAAAGTTTGTAAAAATGGAGCTGCCTGGTTCTTGCAGTCGAGTCTTCAATTACATAATTACAATTCTCAATTTTATTTTTATCAAATTTTTAACAATATTAGTTATTTATTAAGTTTATAAATATTTCCAAACGAAATATGGTGAAACGTTGAGCCGATACAAATTATGATTCAAGAGCACAGAGATTTTGAAAACCACGATATTATGCCATAAGTTCTATCGGTACAATTATGAACAAAGCATTTTGTAATTTTTTTGTGGTCAATTAAAACTGAAAAACCAATAAATAATAATTCTAAATATTAAAATCGGTAAATCCAAACAAACCGAATATTGTCTTCATTGCATTTGCTGTCATTATTGTCAACTTTGATAATCACACGTGCTGTTCTAATTGTACCAACCTACATTTTACCTATTATGGCGACCAGGTAAAACTGCCAAATTTCTGTATAGCCACTGTGCGTAAAGCCATGCCCAGAGATTTTAAAACTCATGACGACAACCTTAAAATTTAACACTGGTTGGGAAAGCTTTTATGAGAAGAATGAAAATAATTTTGTGCAAAGAGGTGTAACTACAGATGAGATAATGGCAATCCAAACAATCAAATAAGATACCTGCCGTTTCTTCACTAGCGAAGTAGACAATATTAGAAATGAATGTAGGAAATGCAAGACAATAATATTTTCGGATATTGAAGGGACAATGCACATTGATTTTGTCTGAAGGTTAAAATCTATATGGGAATGTACTAAATCTACCTTTCAGACCAACTGGATAAACAATATGTGACAAAAGCTCTATTGCATTCCAAGAAGTTTTTCAATCATTCTTGTTGACAGGATTTCTTGAATTATTGATCACTGTGTTGTATTAAAAATACAGATGCAAAAAAGATTTTCTTTAGTTGAATTATAATTCTCATTTTTTTTTTAATAAGCTATATATCAGTGAATGTATTGAAAATACCAAAAATATTGTGCTTTAGAGAAGAAAAAAGCGAATAATTATTTTTTAAATGAAGGTTAAAAATATGGAGCTAACACTCTTTTACATTTGGTAATTACAATCTAATGGACCGTCTGATAGTGTGACGTACATTTTTCTAAACAAAGCAAAGTAGCCATTATAACGGCTACATCAATGCTGTCATAGTCGAAACTTTAAACGTGGTTAAGTTTGGTAAAAGCAGCATATAGTTTTTACAAACACAAGAATACTTTTTAAAGATTGATTTGTGTAGCACCAAATGGAGCTATTTCTTACTGTAGTGAACTAATGCAGGATATATTCATAAAAAAGGTTGAATACCTGGTGAGTTGACTTTGGGATGTGAAGGTTTTTTCTCACTTTAAAGAAAAGGTTTTATGTACTATGACAATTGCGAGATCCAAAATTTATGTGGAAAGTGCAATATCTAAGTAGCACTGTTTCCCTTAACATTTAAATTATTTTATATAAAATATTTAATGCATGGCTGTATAAATACATTACAATAATGTTTTCTGCACTTTTTACTTATTATTTATTTATACAACCAAATCAAAATTATTCATGATATATTTGTTTAAAACAGTATGCCAGATTATAGTGACTTTTGACATCGTTGTCCATGGCTACTTTCTTTGTGTAGAAAAAAATAAGTAACTCTGTGTTGGCGTCATGACTATTATTAACAAATTCAGGTAATGAAATTTATTTGAAAATGTTACATTTTGTAACCACTCTGGCTGATTCCAATCGACAAGTTAAATGGCACAGAGAGCTTTAATTTGCTAATAATTGTATTATCAGCAACTAATCCTAGTTCCATTTCAAACAGACATGGTTCTGTAACCCCAAAGCACAAAATTAATATATAGATTTAGAAAAATCAGTTTGTATGACCCTATCTACGTTTCGTTAGAGACAATTAACTAGCGCCAGTCTTGAGTACGTCAAAACACACTTTACAAACCCTAACAGGTTTATTTTCGCCGAATTTTAAAATCGGCACTTCTTGATCAGAACATTTGCTGCATAGAGCACGACCGCAGTGCCTGCAGTGGTGGGTGCGAACTGTTATCGAGAAATTCTTGCCGCATTCTTGACATGTATCGGTGTTAGTCCATGGAGCCGGTTGAGACAGAGTGTCGAGAAGGCGATTCAAAAGTTGTTTGGTGGGAACCTTTAGGAAAGAACCAAAATCAATTAGTAAAGGAAAAATTCATTTAAAGTTGATACATTGTAGTCCAGTATATAGGTAGAGCGTGACAGATATAAGTGATCAGCATTTTAATCAAGTATAACATTTAATATTAAATTGGTTTCTTTCTCATTTTTAATAGACATTGTAGGATCCTCTGTCTTAAACAAAAACTGATTCTGGAAAGAGTTTAGCAGCTTCAGAAATAGAAAATGATCAAATCTATATATACACACACCAAACGTATTTTATTTTATAAAACTTTTTAGTATACTCATACCGGGTTTTATAAATTATGAATGTTAACTTCTATATTGTGGCTAAGTAGGATTTGTACTGAATCTTATAACATTTAAAAATTTTACAATTGTTATACTTTTAATAAGTTATGTACGTGGTTAAAATCTTGCACTTAGGCTGCAATAGGTAATTCAAAGTTTGTAAAGCCATTTGAGTATTTTTAAACAAATTACCTGGTAATTAAAAATGGTGACTCTCTCAGAATTTTCAGATGACAAACAAGCGTTTGCCTTGACTAAAACTCTGCATAAATTACCGTTTCCTTTCATGTAAGCTAGAAGCAGAGGTGAATTTCCCTAAAAACAAATTTAATCAAATAAAATAAGTGGTAAAACCTTAAATTTTAAAAATATTGAAAAAGTAAGTCTCACCATTATATCAGGAGTATTTATAGGGTAATTTGGCATACATTCCAAAAAAAATTCACAAATTGCCGCTGCATTATCTTTTCCATATTTACAAAGTTCATGAAGAGGATTTCGACCCTGAAAAAAAGGTGTACTTTAAAAAATATATAGTGTTGTTTGCAAACACCAGCGAACACCTTAAAGATTACACAATATATAATATACAGGTTAGGAAAAAAGTATACGAGCCATACAGTGTAGTTATGCCCTCCTCTATTTTATTTATTTTTCAATATGGTCTGCATTTATCAAGATACTTTTAGGTAAAATGTCGAAAAGTGAAAGTGACACTGATCATTAAAAATAAATTAAATAGGCCAGTGCAACATTTTATTGCGAAAAGTAGAAGATAATACCACAAGGCTCAATAATAGGTCTCCTGATGTACATTTTATACATAATCTGAGCTAACATAATCGGTTCATGATTCATGATGTATAAATATATATTTAACAAAACGTAGATAAATAGCAGACGGCGATCATTAAAGATTTACCTTTAAATTCGTGGCTTCTGCGTCTATAGAAGATTCGGTAAGTAGAATTCTAACCACATTTAGATGTCCTTCTTTGACTGCTATATGGAGGGCATTATTATTTTCTACATCTACTGCATCATAATCTGCGTTGTTCTGTAGTAAAGCTGAGACCGCAGGTGCGTTACCTGCTTCTGCAGCTACGTGAAGTGCCGTTCGTCTAAATAAATAGAAACATATTAAGAACTTTTTATAAACAAATAAAACTTCTTTGGTATAATAATCGGTCGATATATTTTTACTTTCCTACAGATAAGGAAAGTATAGCAATCATTATTTTTTTCGAGTTTTCGACGGATTTTTACGATTTGGGGTCCCCTGAATCCGTTTTGACTATTTTCGCGATGATTTCGTGTGCGTGTCCTCGATAACTCATGAACTGATACTAAGAAAAACACCAAATTTTAAATTTAAGCTTTATTTCGGCGGTGAACTGATTGGATTTTGGGCAGAGTCGGAATATCTGGAGGGTACTTTATGGGGGGTTATTTTTATATTTTATGAAATATATGTTATTTATGTTTGCAGAAGAAAATTGATCAAATAAAAGTTACTTCTTAATTTATTTTCTATAATTCTTGTTCCATACGTAATTTCTGCAAAATGAAACGTATTCGAGATATTTGAGAAAATGTGTAAATTTCGAATTTTAAATAAAACTCAAAACCGATAAAGAGAAAAACATTTTAAACTTAACCTTTATTGTGGCCTGCGGTGAATTGATTAGTCGGAACTTTATAGGAGGTCGTTTTTATATTTTATGGAATATATCTGTTATTTACGTTTGGAGAAGAAATTTCTTCAAATAAACATTACTTCTGATATTATTCTCTATAATTCTTGCCTCATACAAAATTTTTCTAAAATGGTCCGTATTCGAGAAATTTGACAAAATATGCAAAATTCAGATTTTTAAAAAAATTGTTAAACTAAAAGTTATTTGCGATATCGATGTCTATAATTTTTGTTTTTACATGATTTCTTTAAAATGGATGGAAAAATTGGAGGAAAAGTGTAAAATTTTAATCATTCAGTATTTTCCTTGGCAATGAATATATATAGAAAAATTTTTCGAGTTAGATGTATGTGGAAAATGTATATATTTAGTTTATCCTCTAAAAATTTACAGAGGTGCTACAAAAGGTTGTACAAAATAATCGGAAAAAACTTGTAATAACTAGATAAAAAAGTCATGTGTTGGACACATCAGATTTTTATTAATACACAACTACATATGTTTCGAGATAAAATTTGAGACAACCATTTTAAAATTTTCATGGATGAAACCCATCTTTTTGTTTCTGCTAATGTAGGTGACGTATTCGAAGTATTAGTATTTGGTTTTAGTCCAGGATCCGTAAGTAAGGTCGACCTTCACCCATCTGTTTAATGGATAAGTTTTTTTTATTAAATAAAATATGGTTTTAAATATACCGCAAATGGGTTGCCTAAGAAAATACGGCCACGGCCAATTTTTACTTTCCTTTCTATGTACAGATATGGAAAGTATATGAATCATGATAAAAGTTGCTTATGATGTCATTCTCTATTAATTTGTCCCTATACATGATATCCCTCAAAATTTTTGAGTTGTCTTCCAAATTTCTAATGACTTAAGCTTTAATCCATCCTGCGGTGAGCTGATGAAAGTTTGGGCATAGTCAAAGCATATGGGGAATGCTTTACAGGGTGTCGTTTTTTCACTTCAAGAAAACAAATAGTCTGGGCCGTATTTTCTTAGGCAACCCATTTGCGGTATATTTATAAATATATTTTATTTAATAAACAGATGGATGAAGGTCGACCTTACTTCGGATCTTAGACCATTTAGACCAGGGTCGATAATTTTTGAAACAAAAAAAAAAAATAGTAGGACGAAACCCGTTAAAAAAGGACGAGAATATAACAAAAATGAAAGGAAAAATAATTTACGGGCGATCTGAGGTCGGGAAGTGGAAGGGGGTGAGTTTTTAAGAGTAAAAAACGGCGTATCTCGATTTCCGGCAAAACTACAAGTCCTATGAAAAAAAATTAAATGACAAAGTTGTAGGTAATAAAGAGACCTACAACTTTTGTGATTACACTTTTTTCACATAACCTCAAAATTTATGTGAAAAATTCAAATAATCAAGTTTTTGGTTTTTTATTTTTCTTATGCAAAAAAAATTTTTTTTTTCTCGAAATTTGGTAAAAACTTACCTTTTTATGTCCTAAAGACACTATAATTTTTTTTGATTTGAAATATTTAATTTGAAAATTCTCGCGTCAAAATATCAGCTTTTTTTAAAAAAGTCGGGGAGTTTTTTGTTCGTTGAAATCTCTTCTTTCTGATAATGTAAAAAAATATATACATAACTATGGTAAATGTTCTCAGAAAATGTACAATTTTGAGCTATTTAGTAAAATTGACACTTTAATTACTTGAAAAACGTCATATTCTATGTTACATTGATAAACAAAAAAATTACAAACCCATAAATCATAAAAATTGCAAGAAACATGCGAAAATAGTTGTTCTAAATATTAAAGATATGATTTAAAGGGGGATTTCAATTAAAAAATGTGATTGCTGCAATTTTTTTTTTAGTCAAAAAGTTGATTTATTAAATTCTAATTACATGTCATAGAAAATCTCATAATATATGAATAGAAATGTAAATCGTACTATTGAATTTAGATACTTTATACTGATTATTATTATTCATAATAATATTTTAAAATGCTTTAATCTTCTTATTTATAAATCTTATCTTGAACCCTAATCACTTATCCATTACTTTTTGTCTCTTCGGTGGCATTTCTTCATCGTTAGATTCGACAGACCTTCCCGAATCTAGTAGATCTTCGAAATCTTCAAGACCATCACCGTCTTCGTATCCAATATTATTTTTAGTCTGAATTGGTCCTTCATCCATAATTTCTACCGAATCACTAACTTCCTCGTAGGTTTTTTCTTCCAATTGGTTTTCAGAACCATTACAATTTGAGCAAAGGTAGAAAGACCTAGACCCGCCTTGCCCCTTCCCCCCTTCTCTATGAAATACCTTTTGATGGGCTAAAATGATCACTAGGTAACTCAGGTATATAAGTTATCTTAAAATAGCAATAAATAGGCATCTATGCACATAATTTAAAGAATATTCTACAACTTTATCAAAATATTCTACCATGTGAAGGTAAAGAGCAGTAAGTAACATTTTTGTTAAAAATAAGATATTAATGTTACATAACTAAGCAGTAACTGCGCTAACTTCAGATAGGGTTTGGTGCACATTTATAAATCAACTTAGGCCAGAATTAAATAGGTAAATCGCAGTATCTGACAATGTCACTCCTCAGTGTTACAGTAAAAGGCAGTATCTAACTTAATAACCAATTACTGCTATTTACCTACAAAGTTTTTTAAAACATGAATTCAAATGTGAATGTAAAAGAGCAGTATCTACTTTTTATTTAATTACTGCCTTTTGTAATATATTTTTTGTATTTGATATTTGTAATATGTCAAGACATAAGGAAGCATCTACCCAGATACTGCCTTTTTCCTAAACATCAATGTTTTTCAAAGCATACATTTGCGCTTGCGAAAACTGCGCTAGTTTCTTTGGAAACTTCTAATCGAGCAGAAGCACCAGCTCGAGGTAGGTACATTTTTGATACAATTTAAAGCAACTATTAGAATATTTTTTGTTTTTTTTTTGGGCAGGTTTACACAGCAATTCAATAAGATTTTTTATTTAATTTTGATGTTTTAGGTCTTTTAACACTTGATCCATCAACATCGGCTTACGAAGCTCAAAACAACAGAGAAACATATGAAAATATTACGATAACAGCACCTGGCAGCTGGCACCTGGTGGCTTAACACCAAATAGAGATGGACGAGGATTAGCAGCACCGACAAATGCAATCGTGAAATTCTTCAACAACATATTTAAGGTCGTAGAAAATTTAAATGAAAAAAAAAAAAAAAAAAAAAACGTAATTTGTTTGGCAAATGAAGACGTTTTGAACTGGACGTCTGGAGATTCAAAGGCCAAATCCAAACAAAAGGACAGACCCTTGCTGTGCGATATATCTGTGGTACAATTTAGACGAGGGAGCACATTATTTATAAAAATAATATTAATGATGAAAGTTTTAAGGAATATACTTTTTTTAAAGTAAATTTTAAACTAGAAATTTCGAGTAAACTACGAGATCATTCTAGAGGTATCCCTATACGAAAGAAACAAGGCATAATTTCGCAACTGTGCCCAATCATGCCTAAAAACAGACGACACTTCTAGCTTTCATTAAAACAAGATGACGTATAAGACTTAATAGATAATTACCAATAATTTTCAAATTATGTAGGTACCTACCTACGAATTTTTTCTGTTAGTTTCATGTCTTTTAATGTACTTTATTTTTTAATTAACTTTTGCTTTATTTTGTATTTGTTTTATTTATTTTGGAGATGGTATTATTTACATAAAGCTGGAAAATTACTTACATTTACTGCTTTTTAATAACAAATTGATATGTACTACTGTTATGGTAAACAGCAGTAACTGCTAAATTTTCGGCAAAAGTCAAAGTTAGAAAATTTTACTTTTTTGTAAAAAATAAAACCTATTCAGTAATGTTATATAATGTTTTTTTATTTAAAATAGAAATAAAAATAAATTGCGTAGAACAAAAAACACTAAATTAGCAATAACTCAAAATCATTATTGTTGCACTAACTGCTCTTTACCTTCACACGGCAGTATTGTAGATATCTTAAATATTAACTTATTTGGTTGTTAATTATAGTAGTATATTTCGATTTGTATTTTTTGTTTATCAATGTAACATAGAATCTTACGTCTTTCAAGTAATTAAAGTGTACATTTTACTAAATAGCTCAAAATTGTACTTAGTGATTAAAAAAAAATTTCGGATTAGAGTTTTTTTTCTTTTCTTTGCATTTTCTGAGAACATTTACCATAGTAATGTATATATTTTTTTTACATTATCAGAAAGAAGAGATTTCAACGAACAAAAACTCCCCGACTTTTTTTAAAAAGCTTATATTTTGACGCGAGAATTTTCGATTGAAAATTAGGGTGTTTTTTCGATATTAAGTCAAAATAAGGTGAAAAAATAAATATTTCAAATCAAAAAAATTACAGTGTACAGGTAAGTTTTCACCAAATTTCGTGAAAAAAAAAATTTTTTTTTTGCATAAGATAAAAATAAACCAAAAACTTGATTATTTGAATTTTTCACAAAAATTTTGAGGTTATGTGAAAAAAGTGTAATTACAAAAGTTGTAGGTCTCTTTATTACCTACAACTTTGTCATTTAATTTTTTTCCATAGGACTTGTAGTTTTGCAGTAAATCGAGATGCACCGTTTTTGCCCTTAAAAACTCACCCCCTTTCACTTACCGACCTCAGATCGCCCGTAAATTATTTTTCCTTTCATTTTTATTATATTCTCGTCCTTTTTTAACGGGTTTCATCCTACTATAATTTTTTTTTTCACTTTTTACCATTTTCAAAATTATCGACCCTGGTCTATTTTAACAAAATTATTAGGGAAACAAAATAGTTTTTAAAGAAAAAAAAAAGTAACAGTGGTGTTACAGTACAAAATAAATTGCCCACAACTAGATGCTTAAATTAAAATAAATGTAAGATTTGTCAAAGTTCATATTTTTTTTTTAATAAGTAATCATCTCAAGGATTGTTTTTTTTTTGTTATAGTTAGGTTCTTTTTCGAGAAGCTTTTTTTTTCCAGGAAAGTTGAACTCGGCTCATAAAGACTGTGACAATATTAAATAAACAAATTAACACTTACTTTTGGGCATCTCTATCGTCGATCCTAGCTCCGGCCAATATTAAACTTCTAACTAAAGTTTCGTTGCCGTGTTTAGCAGCTAAGTGGATAGGTGGCGTTAACATGGGATCCTGTACTCTCGAATTTACATCCACTTGTACAGTCAGCAAAAATAATGCACTTTCTATGTCTCCCTTTTTTATTGCGATGTGCAAGAAGTTTTGACCTTTTGCATCAAACTAAAAAGAACGAAAAATTTAAAGTTAATATTGTTAGAACATCACAGACGTTTAGATTGTGGGCACTAACAAAAATAATTAACAGATCATCAATATTTAACAAACATTTTTACAACCAGCTGTTAATAATTTAATTAAAATGTACCAGTATTGCAGTGTGTATAATGTAATTTAATTATTAGACTGGACGAAAACAATTGAATATATTGACACTGTTAAATTTTGTCCATTTTTTTCTGTGTAAATAATAAATAAAAAAAGAATTGATATTGTAATGTTTGTTTATTTTAAACAACAGTTTAATTATTAATAATTTATTTATACATTTATTTATTTTATAACACTACTATTCTAATTTATATATGTTTCGAATGTATTTAAACTGTTCACTATTTATCTTCACTGTCCATATAATAACTGATTGGCTCGTTGTTCCTCCACCAATATTTATACACACAGTTAAAACTTTGGCGAAGGTTCTAGAATTTTCACAAATTTTCACCAATACTAGAAACATTATCACGTTGACCCTGGAATGTACTCGAAAAGCACCTCCACCATAGTCGTCACATATGTTTGTTCTTAAGGGGTTTAATTATGTATGATAATCGGACAAGTTGAGCCTCAAAGGCCAAATAAGACAGAGAGGGACTTGGAGGATTAGAGCATGACTGATTAATGAAATGGCTCACATTACAAAATTAATGTCCACTGAAGACAATAATTGGTTGTCTGTGGGCCAGGTAATTTATTTTAACTTTTAGTGTGCACAATTTTAAATATTGAAATAAGATAAATACAATAATAAAAAATAATAATAACTTAATCAAGGAACTTGGTTATTTATTTTTTTATTTAATACCATATATACCTACTTTAATTTTTAGTCAACCTGGTTAAATTTTCTTACTGTTTATTTTAAGCTATATTATTACATGGATTAATTAATTGTATAATTTATTTGCTATAATTTTGTGTATATATTTTATGTTGGTAAGGAGTAAGTGTGGCTTAACTTTATCTTTAAGTAGATTGGGGGAGTTAATACTATAGAAATAAATCTTATATGTTCCAGAGAGACAATTAAATAATTTTGAGGCAATAAAAATGTTAAATAATTGTTATTCTTGTGAAATATAGTTTTTTTCTTTGTTTCGATAATGGCTTGTAGCTGAATGCGCTCAGCCTAATATTGTTAAAATTATTTGTACACACTGAAGTGTTCGTCCACTTCATTTACCGGTTAATGTTATCGATTGAATTTTTTTTTTTTTTTTTTTGTAAAAGAACTTACTTGTTCGGCAGCACTGGGTAGCTTATCCAAAATTGCTTGAGCAGCTTTGTTATTTCTAAAGGTTAGAGCTGTTGCAAATGGACTTAATCCAGTTTTATCCCTAAGGCTTAAATCTATTTCTGGGACACTCAACAGGAGCGTAATTATTTCATCCTGCTGATTTTCTATGGCCATATGGAGGGGAGTTTTGTTTTCTGCATCTCTAATGTTAACATTTGCCCTGTGTTCGACCAGAGTCTAAAATAAATATTACACCAAATTTATAGAACTATTAAGAATTCTGGATATTAAACTTTTAATATTCCATAAATATGTGAATGTGATAAACAAATAGTAATTAATATTAGAAAACACTGTTTACCCTGACAACAGGTTCCAGCCCCCATTGACAACAAAGATGCAAGGGTGATTTCTTATCTTTGGCTTCGTCGCCCCCTTCACCATCAGGTCCTGGCATTCTATGTGAATTCAAATCACATCCTGCTTGAATCAAAAATATAGCGGCCGATTCTTTATTTTCATCAATTGCCCTACAAAAGTTAGTGTCACGATTAGGTCATACATATTAAAAAAAAAATGTTTTTACTGTTATACATGTAGTCGTTCTGTCACACAACTGCTCATATCTGATGTGTGCGTTCTAGTGAGATACTTATAAAACAAACAGAAAGCTTGGCATATGGTGCATTTTTGATCATTAAAAAAAATTGCTATTGCCAGGAGGTGATGAGAACATTGAAACTAAAGTTGATTACATTATTTACACGTTGGAATAGTTTTCCAAACGAATACATCTCTATGTCCTGCCTTAATTGTATCATTAAACCAAACTCGAGTTGCAAAAGTTGATAATAGACTTATAACAATGCATCAACATTTTTATAATCCTTTAGTATTTTAGGAAAATGTTCATTTACTCGTTTAGTTAGGCATTTAGAAGAAAATTGGTATTGTAAGATTATTATTATTTGGTGTAGTTTCGAAATCTTCTTACCTATGTAAAAGAGTTTGCCTGCATCCATCAGGTCCTTCGCCCCAACAATCCGTATCAGCTCCATGTTTTACAATGATGCTAGCGATATCTTCTTGACCAGAATCTAGGGCCGCCCACAGGGCGCAACTTCCTAATCTGTCAGGTGCCGACATATCAACACCTCGGGTACATAGGGCGTCTACTACTTCGGCTAAGCGACAATGGATTGCTAGTTGTAAAGGGGTTTCGTAATCAGTTGTACTAAAAATATGGAAAAAATAGTCAGGAAAAGCATTGAAAAACAAAGTGTCAATTCTGTAATGATTATGTTAAAATAGCCCACCTATACTTTCTAAGGAGTTAAATAAAATGCTATAATTCCGCCAAAAAGGGTAACAGAAACATGGCCCAAAACATTTTATGTTTCTAATTTAATAATGGAGAGCCATATATGGTATTCTGCTATGGGGACAAGAACAGATGGTATAGATGTTTTCAGGTACAAAAATAAGCTATTCATATAATGAAAAAAATGGATTTTGCTGAATCTTGTATAAGGCATTTTAAATCCTTTAATATACTTACGATTCCTGCATTATACATATTTAAGTGCTTTACAATTTTGTTTAAAAATACTTAAAGAGTTTAAATCTACTCAAGCTTATTATATGAGGCATAAGATTAACTACAACTTTCCATATCACAAACTATCTGGTTATAAACGAGGATCATTAATCATACATAAAATTTTACAATCATCTGCCTGTAGACGTTAAAACTGGCCCGTTACAATAAATGAAAAAAAAAAAAATAAGTTTTTTAAAATTACTTTTATTTTACTTGTGTATACTACTTGTTACTTGTTATGAATTTTGTTTTCTTCCCTAGTTGAACACTTTAAATGGCTTTATTTAAATTTTTTATTCATACCGGTCTGGTTGGTTCATGGTTCCTCAATTCAATCATAATTTGTTGTTTTAACCGCAAAGTAATTATAAAAGTAATTGATAATTCCTTTTTGTAATTGAATCAATATAATTCCTATTTTTACAACTTGTACTTTGTACTTGTAATTAATTCCTTTTTTAAAAAAGTATTTTGCACTTATTTATAAAGTACATGTAAATACTCAGCTCTACTAAAAACCTATATAATTAAAACAATTTTAAACGCCTTTAACCCCATTTTATAGGTCACTATTTATTTCCTGACAACCCATGTATATTTTCATAAAAATATTGTTACGCAGCACCCTGCAGCTATTATAGGAAACGTACAAATGGAAAAAGAAGTGGAATGTTACTCATCGCCCTACAGTGTGCTGCGGTCGTCATAAGTAAAAGTACAAGTAAAAGAAGATAGAATAGTCTAGAAATCACCCTTGAAAGTCTGAGACAGGGACAGAAGAAAGACAATGACTTAAAGGTTGTCCGAAAATGGCTCAAAAATAAAGTCACACCAGCTATTCTCCATTAGTGGTCACGCAATTTACTGTCCGCAATTTTTTTTTAACAAATCTACTGGTCCGCGGGCCAAAAAAGGTTGAGAAACGCTGTCTAGACGACAGTTCGAGAAGGGTCAAGCTATATAAGGATGATCCTGACGTTAGTTTTCGGTTTTATGATAGAGGTTACATGTTAATGTTATCAGTTGTATAATTGTTGTTAAAGTTGAGTTGAAATAAATTGCGATACCAAAAACCTGTGTAACAATTAGGCATTCCAAACTGAATGGCTACCAGTGGGTTTTGACGGGTTATGATATGGAAAAATTATGGCAACCCTGGTGATTTGACAAGGTCAATGAAATAGATAGTTACATAGATTGAACATCCATATTTTTCAAAGTAAACATAAGCTTATGCCTTGAAGTAAAAATGTAAGCAATTATTTTTTGTTAAATATTTAAAGGCTAAAAATTGGTTTTAAAACACATTTTTGCTAAAACGATTCAAATTAATAAAACGTGTGTCTTTTTTTCCACCGGTTTGTTGGAATAGTTTTTTCGCCGATGCGGCCTTAAACGCCTTTTGTTGGATCCGATTTATTTATGGTTGACCGTTGAAATAAATAACAGTTGACATTTTGGATTAAAATTTGTGTTTATAATTTTATTTAATTTGTACGCATATATTTTTAAAATCTCATTTTTTTGGTTTTCCCACAAAAAACAATTAAATAATTAATAAACTCAATTCTGATTAATTCCCGCAATCCATAGCTGTCAGTTGTCACATCTAATCGGAAAAACCGTACATTGAAATGATGGAATGGTGTTGCATCGATTGCATCAAGGTTGGATAAAAAGACAGCGCTGTTAGTTCATCATTGATAGATTGATGAAATAAAAGACGGGTAGATACCGCACCGATGCCAACGTTGCTGCAACAGTTGGATAAAAAGACACACGTAAATATTTTCCAGGCAATATGGCCGCTCGTAAACGACCAGCTTTGAGCAATCTATATAACTATATATGTACCATTGACCCTGTTGATGACAACATGACAACAGGGTTGCCATATCTAAACTGTCATTACCCACTGGTAGCCATTTGGACAGGTCGTTGGAATGCCTAATATGTTAAGCCGTTTTAGAGTAAGAACAAAAAAATACTTATAAAATCTCTACTTTAACACCCTGTAACTTTTTTACTATCCATTTTTTATATAAGCAAGTTAGTTTGAGTCGACTTATTTTCGACCCCAGAAACTGTGGTTAAATTTACTAAACATGTTTTTGTTACATCCTGTATGTACTTATATCAACAAATGCGCATCTAAAAAAACATTTTTGCACAAGTATTTTTATAAATTGTCCAAATAAAGCCAGAATTCTATTGTTAATCCAAATTTTGTTTAACGCTCTGTATATATTGTTCAAATTAACTTACACTGCATTTATATCAACTCCATTATTTAATAAAAATAAGGCGGTTTTCGAGTCTTCTTTAATTATTGCTTGGTGTAATAAAGTCAAATCTTTTCCATTTCTCACATTTATATCAGCTTTACCCTAAAATAATTTTAATGACAGAATTATAGTGAATTGTACCTATGAAATAAACCATTATTTTCATATAGAACGTAAATAAGATAATAAAACTACACAAATTAAAAAGCACTCATTAATTAAAATATACAAATAGATGGCAGCTAACCTTAATTAAAATCGGTACTAGATGATTTAATCCTTCAGTCAAAGCTAAACTTATAGGCGTTTCTCCATCTATGTCTCTTACATTGAAATTACAAGGTTGTTTCGGATCCTGCGTATTTTCTAAAAAAAAAATATTCATATTGTACAGATTTTGTAATAATCCCACACAAGAGGGTAGTTCTCGGACGAGCACAAAGTAACCTAATAAATTATATGTGTTCGAATTACATTCAAACACTCACGCAAAAATTAAAATAATTATATTATCAGCAATTATTTATATAAAATTGATTACACACGCCCATTCGATTCATAAAATTCACATTCACATTCTAACAATAAAATTTCAATCTCATCTCTAGACTTTGGTTAACTAACGGCCTTCTACCGGCGGAAATAACAGTTAACACGGAGTATAAAGGGAAAGGTTTTTCAAGAAAGCAATCTTCCCTGCTCATCTAGCAAAATTAGATATAATAGCAATAGCCCTCCCAGTAGACAATCCATTAATCATTATCTCATACTACAACCGCCCAGGCCAAATCATCTCCACATCTCTGATAGAATACCTATCATCACTCCCCCTCGCCGTTTTGCTTGGAGACTTGAACTTCAGACATAACATGTTCGGAGATCACGCCTCAAATCCAAACGGTATCCGCCTAGCTAATCTGCTCATAGACTTCCCCATATTCAGAGCCTCAAATAACCGACTTCCGACCATTGTATTCCACCAAGGATCATCTAGCATTGACCACATCCTCTTGACAGATTCCTGTACAGGACTGGTTGCTGATAGATGCTTCATTGAAGAGACAATCACCTCCGATCATCTTCCTTTGATGTTTCACATATCTCTCCTTGCACCCACTCCACCTAGAGCTACTATTTACACCTTCCGAAATATCAAAAAAAGCAGATTGGCCACTATTTCAGAGAACCATCTCTGCAAACATTCCTGAG